TGTCAATTACAATTTTTAATACTTCTGTGTTCTCCAGTCTTTCCGTCTCTACCACAGAGCGTGGACAGTTGGTGTATCTGACCCCTATTTTCCTGAACAGCTTCCTCTGCTCTGAACCTCCTCCAAGTTCTGCAGATTTAGATTTGGGCACCATCTGGTGGACATTTCTAGAACTGCCCGCTCATCTGAGCAGAGCCCAGACGTCCAAGTCAGATGGAGCCAAGTCAACTCTTCGGCTTCTCTGTCCTTCATCCTCCTTATTTCCATTTTCTTTCCTTTTATTGAGCGTCAACTGTATGCCAGATTCTTTCTCAGAACTCTGTGGCAATCTGCACATTTGTTTCCTGAAATAGCCTTAAAGGCTCACAAGACTTAATACCATGCGTGCCTCGTTCGACTATTTTGGCTTGCTTTACTGTGCTTCACAGATGATGCTTTTCTGGGTTTAGTTTTTCTGTGAGACACATGCACTCACTGGAGAGAGACACAGAGAGAGGGGGAAATGGAAAAGAACCCCTGGGGCCGAGAAGATGGCCATGCCACACTCTCTTCACCTCTATTTCCCCCTCAGGATTTTGGGCACATGCCAGGTGGGTTTTTCAAACTGCTGGGTCTAAGAGTTGAACCATGCATTTGGACATGTGGGATCCCACTGCCTTAACTACCATGCCACCAGCTGGCCCTGTTGCTTTTTTGTTTTGTTCTGTTTATTTATTTCCGGAGAGAGAAAGATAGGCATCTTCAATAGGATCTTCACAAGGATCCTCCTCCTTACCCTGCAGTCAGCCAAGATCACCGGGGCACCCTGCATATTCAGATAGACCCAGGATACGAACCTGTAATGTTCCCATATGGCTCCACCATCTCACAGCAGCACCCCTACTGCCTGTACTACCACAGCTAGGCCTGGCACTGCATTTTTGCAAATGGAAGGTTTATGGCAATCCTACCTTACGCAAATCTATTTTTTCCAACAGTGTATGCTCACTTCCTATCTCTGCATCCCATTTTGGTAATTCTCACAATATTTTAACTGTCTCTGTTATTATTAACACCTGTTATGATCTCCCTTGATGTTTGAGATTGTTTTCAGGAGCCACAAACCACACCCATGTGAGTGAGCTTAATCATAAATAGCATGCATGTTCTTCATGTTCCTCTGTCTTTCTCCCTCTCCCTGGGCCTCCCTGATCCCAGTGACAGAATAATATTAAAAATAGGTCAGTTTTGTTCGTGCAGCACACTGGCGTACCACACTGTTTTCATTTTTTACGTGTAAAAAAATTTGTTTTTTCCTCTCTTACTAGTATTTTTCTAGTTTTTTTCTTTTTGCTTTTATTTTTTTTAACCTTACTTTCCCACTGTAAGCTTCACTCTCCACACTTTGAATGTCTAGATAGGCCTTTGTGCACAGTAGCCAAGTATCTTAATACTTTTAGAGTCATTGAAATCCTCAACACTTATTTTTTTTAGAGGTTTTTGCTATAGGGCACGTGCACTCACCAAGAAGACAGAGAGAGACAGAGAGATAGAAAGTGAGAAATCACCTCCCAGGGGGGGTGGTCACGCCGCAATCCCTTCTCCTCCATTCTCCTCCCGGGATCTGGGGCACACCCGCACACAAGCCCAGCATGAGTATAAGCCACTGGGTCC